GTGCCATGCACTGCTCTACAAGTGGCAAGACAATAACAGTCTGGGTCCCCAGGTTTGCACTTCATTTGGGTTGTGCATATTCACTATCCATTCTGGAAGATCTCCCTCCGAAACCTAGATATAAGCAGTGCTGGTGACAAAGTCCCACTCGGCAGCATGTTGGCTATAGGGGAACTGCAATGGCTTCAGAAGGTATCCTCCTCCCTCCGGAGCACTGCCCATGAACCCAGGCCGCTTTCAACCCTGGTATTCTCCTAAATACCTCCTGCACACTCAGGCATACGCCACTGAAAGATACCTACTGCTCACAGTCCTCTTCCCAGTACAGGAAGGGCAGGAACATGGTTGTTGTCTTTGTTGTTGTTGTTATTCAAGATGGTAAACCTTCCACAGCCATCCCATAGGTCTGCAGTCCACTCCATCAGCATATGCACATGACCTTCATTGGTCCATTCCTATCTATACTGTGTGTCCTGGAGAAGTGGTTAGGTACCTCTTTAGGTAACTGTACTGCAGCAGGCACAGGGTCTGGATACGCAGAGGCGTAGCAGCTCCTGATATCAGGTGGAGTCTTTTGCCTAGACGGCTCTCAGTGCCTTGAGCCAGCCATTCTAAAACATTAGTCACAGAATCTGAAGTGGCATTTAGAATCATAGAATCGTAGAATGGTTTGGGATGGAAGGGACCATTAAAGGTCATCTTGTCCAACACCCCTGCAATGAACAGGGACATCTTCAAGTAGATCAGGCTGCTCAGAGCCCCATCCAACCTGACCTTGAAAGTTTCCAGGGATGGGGCATCTACCACCTCTCTGGGCAAACTGTTTAGACTGACTGAATTTGCCACTTAGCGCCTGTTGACTGAATTTATAGGTCAATGTCCTTGCATGTGTTAGATCTGGGCTTAACTCCTTAACATACATGGTTTTTTCTTCTTTTAGGAAAGTCGATGACAATTAAATATTCTCAAGCATCATCCGAAAAAAAAAGTGATTCATGGGGTACCTGAGCTTGTACCAAGAAGCAAAGCTACACACACTCACACCCCAAAGGGTCTCATTAGATCTGCTCTGCAGGGAGGTGTTTGCCCTGCCACTGAGCTGAGCCCTGGTAGCCTCTGCTGGCACACTGGTGGAGAGAATATTACAGCAAGCCCCACGGGCCTGTGGGAGAGATCAGCAAAGGAGGCGTCAGAACAAATGAGGGAGCACATGAGCTGCATTTCAAGCTGAAATCTCTACATCCTGAATGACTGCAGCTTGTTTACACACCTCATGGGGAGTGATGCAGATGGGAAGTGGGATTTAAAGCCATCACAGAATGTTAAAAATAGCACAGTGAAAGTCATTGTTCCCCTTCTCAATTAGGAGGACAGGAAACAAAAACGCATGAGTGTGGAGGCTTTCTGCTCCACCCCTGAGGGAATGACCCAGAGTCATGAGAATATAGGCCAGATATTGAAGCGAAGAATGAGAAGAAGCAGGAGACAACAGAATATAATTTGCATGGATAGATTGTAGCAGCCTCTGCAGAAAGAATCACAAAACATTTTATTGAGAGAATATTTTACATTGCTGTGGGCAACTGCTCATCATCCACAAGCGGAAGTGGAAAACTGCTGGTGAGACAGAACAAGCTACTTCAATGTAAACATCACCTTTGTTTCATGGCGAACAAAGGGATACAATGCAGTAGCATTTTGCTAACATGGACATTGTTTAGGGTGATAACCCTAACCTAGGTGGTCCTACCTGGAACCTCAGTAGATAGCAATGTGGGTCATAAGAGTTATGTGATTAAACAGAGCAAAGAAAAAGACACATCGTGCATCACAGGGAAAATCTCTGCTGTGAATCAGTCTCTTTAGGGAAGCCGCAGAAGTGTTGTTTCCTGAGTCACTTGGAGTTAGAAGGGAGAAGCATTGAAAATCGCATGGTAGAGAACACTGGTGTATGGACCAAGGGATGAGCAAGTCTGCTTCTCTTTGGAACTGGGTGTAACACTGGATGCATTTTTAAAGGCATAAAAATGCCCATAAGGATTTTCCAGGTTGTTAATAGTCAGTGATGGCAAGTTGGAAGCGAGATGATAGGAGAAAAAGGAATTTATCACTGTAGGGTAGTGTTGGGGGTAGGACATGAAGAAAGAATGGGGCTTGGGGGAAGGAGAAGCCACATTCCAGAAAGGAGTTACTGCACATGCTGAAGGGCAGCCTCTGCTTGAGGAGAAGGGTAGACAGGGACTGGGGGACAGTCAGGTTAGAGGAGGAAAGAAGTCAGCTCTGAGAAGTGTATGTAGGTGAGAGAGTGAAAATCACGACAAAGAGAAGAGAAATGAGTGAGGGTGCAAAAAGGAAACACGTGTTTGTGAGCAAAAATAGTTGCAGTTACAGGAAGCGTGTTGTGGAAATAGACGGCTTGTCCCAGGTGGTTAACTGTAACCAACCGTAGTATTTGCAAGAAACATTTCCAAATTGCAGTCATGATGTCTTTGTGAAGTAGGTAAGCACTGACAGAGGAGGGAGGCAAAGACAGAAAGATTGAAAGGCAACAGAGGAGTCTCTGTTGGTGTGGTACTAGAAGGTTAGCATCCCTCACGCTTGCGCTTGGCCCTGAGCTAGACTTTGTGTCTCTTAGCCTGTGAACATATACTGAGTGCCCCAGGCTCTTCTGGCTCATCATCAAATACACTCAACCACCAAAAGAAATCACTGTCTAGATCAAACTTCAGAGTGCTGCCAAACATACCCCAAAGTGTACCCTGGGCTGGACCCTTTTGAAACAAAGGGAGCAGTGTGTTCTAGCAATCCCAAGCGCCAGGAAGCAGAAAAGGAAAAGGGGTAATTCCAGACTTGAGGCTATAATGACAGGAGAGAGAAAGGACAAATACAAACTGTTTACTGGAGAGTGGGTCTTGCTCCAATTGTTGTAGCGAGATCTATGCCAACCAAGCGATGCTGGTAGCTATTCTTACCCCAGGAGGGAAATAGATGTGTATTAATCACCTCTGCACTGGTATAACTGATAAGGTCACAGAGAGGTGAGGGAAGGAGTAAGTTGCTCCAAAATAACTATATTGATTTAAAAAAACCCCTCTTTTCTATCAAAATTACTTTCCTGGCAAAATGTTTACATTTTTAAGAAAGACAACACATTTTTGAACCCTAACAATACTGATTCGTTTTAAAGCTTGTTTTCACATAAAATAGCTACAAATTTGCTCAAAGGAGTACATTCCCCTACACCTTTATTGGCCTTCCCAGCCAGCAGTAGGCTTTGTAGGGACTCAATCCTTGGTGTGTTGTCAGCACACTCTCCCAAAGGTGTGGGTGGGGGTACTTTACACATGATTCTCTTCCTCCCTGAATTTTGTAGCAGCAGCAGCAGCAGCTCTCTTTACTATAAGCCTTTCTGGCTGCTTGTCTTAGGCTTACTTGGGGGACAGTAAAGGTCCTGTTCCAGGAGAGGGCTGCTCTGTTGTTTCAGCACTTCTCGTAAGTTGTTAGGGGGGATGGAAAAGGTGGTCCTACCTGGAACCTCAGTAGATTGCAATGTGGGTCATAACTTCATAGGCAAAGCTCAGGAGTCGGATGTATCTTTTTCAGCTTTATCATTGCTTGAACCTCCATATATTACTCTTGAGCTTCTGAATTAAAAGTATACTGCAGAAACTTTCTCTTGTTAGAGTTGCTTAAGTTTGGCTCCAGACACCCGAGCTGAAAATTTAGATCAAATCCTGACTCGACTCAGGCTTAGCTCTGATTTTAATTTAACAAAAGGCAAAGATTTGCAGGGCTTTGCAAAGATTTGAAGAGAGCAAAACTCTGCCAGTGTTCATGTGAATGGATCTTTAGCAGTAGTAGTGAAAGAAATAAATCACTTTTTGAGGAAGAGTAAACCAACACGTGAAGATGTATTCACACAGTACAAAGTAGGAGTGAATCTGTAACCCAGTCCTGTTATTCACAAATTATTTGGTACCACTGCATGACCATTACAAGGACTCAACCCCAGGAGTGTCTGTCAGGCACCACTACTAGTCCTTTGCGTCTTCTCTTTGTGCAATCAGAAATGCTAACTGCATCTAATACGTTAAACATGATTTAGAAGCTGCTTTTCCAGCATGTTATCTGCGCTAAAATTAGTATTATAGGCATAAATAAACAGCCAGTTCTAAATGATTGTAGAACATGTAATCCCAAAGGGTCCTAAAACATTCCCAGAATACAGATGGATAGCAGGCCAGAATAGAGTGTGCTGCACAAAAGCAGGGAGAGGGAAGGAGAGAAACTTTTGACCTAAGGCCCTAGGGTGCTGGGTCAGATCTCCTCCTCTCACAGAGCTGCATGAAGTTTCTCATGTCCACGCAGAGCAAGCCTGACCTCCAGGGTGGAAGTCTTACGTCGGAGTGAGCCCCCAGGAAGTCACAGGGCTGAGAGTATCCTGCTGCAATTTGGACATGTTCTTCCAACTAATTCCAGGACCAGGACACACAAGAGACTCCTACCCTACTAATGAACGGCTTCCACATAGAGCAAGACCATCAGTTACGTAAGACCAGCTGAAACTGGTGGGGAGAAACCAGGTTGCCAGTTGAAAATATGCATGTATTGTAAGTTAATTTAATGAACAATTTTCTGACTATGGGCCATCTGCAGGAAGTGTACTGTAGATGACTGTAGTCTCTATCATGATAGATTTAACCAGAAACAGTCTTTGCAGAAGTGAACATCAAATGTAATGTCAGAAAATCTTTCACCTTCCTGTCTGTGACAGCAAGCCGTGAGGTAGGAAAAAAAAAAAAAAAAACAAACTCCACAGGTGTGGGCGACAGCTAATGCTGACATAGCTATAACGTAGTCAGGGGTTAAATTAAAAAGTCCTTCTGATTATCATATAATTTCCCCCATTGCCCACAAACCACTTCCTTTTCTACCCATGAATTCTTCCTTTATTCTTCCTTCACAGTAGACAGAAGGCTGGTGCATCTGTGTCAGGCAAGCATGAAGTCAGTGGCTGTAACTTTCTGTGTCCTCTGCTTTCAGTTTGAAGCCCTGTATGGTGAGTAGCATTTTGGATTATTCTCCTTGCAGTAGATGTCTCTATGGAATATAACCCATATAACAGGAGACAGTAAATGAGGCATGATAGCAAGGGTTTGGAGGAATAGAGGTAATTAAGGGAAACAGCTGCAAAAAGACCACTCTCAACTTTAACATCACTAGAGTTGGTGGGAAGAGAATTCCTACCAGCACAGGACATTTACTCTGAAACTAAGAAGTACAAGTTCTCGTTGTTTATATTCTTTAGCTCATCTGCTCAGTGTTACCCTCTAGCTGTTTAGACTGTAGTGCTCCAGCCAGCTTCCCTTGCTGGCCATAAGGTCTTATAGTAGCGACGGTGAATGGCTTAATGAAGAGAAGCCAAGTTATTGATATTAAACCTGCTCTTGTTCGCGCAGGGAATTTTTATACTATGAAAAATGTATATGGCATGGAAGAGCAGATGAGATCATTTCGGTGCAGGCTTGAAACACAGACTGACTTAAAAGGAAGCGTAGCATTCCTAATGCTGTGTTTGAGAAGGGGCACAGTGACAGTGCTGATCTCAGTCCAGCCATAAACATGGATGTAGTGTTTTACAAGATTCAGTGTTTTATCACAGCTACGCAAAGTAAAATACCAGAGCTCACATTTATCTCTCTGAAACCCACATATTACTGGGCCAGGATGGAAATACAGATAATATCTGATTAAGAAGAGTCTTTTTTTTCATACATATACTGTCCAAGGATTTGGTATGATGCATCGTATCAGTAAGACCTGAGTTTTAGTGCACACAGTTACTAAGGACCATCTAAACATGTTCCTTTGAAGGTCATGCCAAGGGCTATTGGATAGATTTGCTTCTGATATTCTAGTGATACAGGATAGGTTTCAAGTCCCCCTGTAAGATTTAAGTACTCCTGAGGTTTCATACAGAATTTAAGCTTTCATTTAAATAAAAACCAGTTTCCAGCTCTTTAGGCAATGCAGTTAACCTTCTGAAGGTTAACTAATACAGCAATAGTATACTGAGTTTTCAGATAGATTGAAAAGATGGGTGAAATCACAGGGAAGGAGGATTATGATCAGTATCTCTAAAGGGACATGAGCTGCTCTTTTTCTCCTATTTTTAAATCTACTAACAAAAAATCCTATCAATTTGGTTAAATATTTCTCAGCTAGTCAACTTAGCAGGTATACTTGATGAGCATGCTTTTACATGTGGCTGGAGCTATCTAAAAGGCCATTCCTTGTGGGAAGAAATAGGCTGCAATTTTAAGGGTGCAAATAATTGTTCTGATGCTGGCATTTGTCCCTTCTTTCTCCCTTCCTTCAAATATGGAGGATAGGATTTCGGCAGGGGGCTGGGGAGAGGAGAGGGCAGGAGAAAGAGACTGCCTGTAACAAGAAATAGTATCTCTCAGGTTTTTTACCTTACAGTGCTTTCAGCATAAAAAGTACTAATTATTATAATTCTTGCTAAAAAGAAAAGGGCTGTAAAAGATCAGCTTGATGTAAGACACATTAGCACGATACTCTCATTTAGAGAACGAGCTAGCACTCCAGAGAGTGCTGCCGAGCACTGTGGCAATTTTTGGGGAGTAAAAGCAGAGTAACTTCTGAGATTTTTTTTTTTTGGGGGGGTTGACTTAGCAGTTAGCAAGCCCTACTTGTGATCTATGGATAGTTTTATTCAATGTAAATAGGTCACAGAAGGTGATATATGTGTGTATATGTGTATTATGAATTGATAACCCAATCATGATAAAGAAATTGTTTGTAAGAGCATGGAGCCTCTCTGGTGCCTGTAGAGGAACACAGGCAATGGGATTTTGGAGTACAGAGCTGTAGGATTCCACAGCACTTGAGGCCCTTGCTATGAAACATTGCACATTAGCTTTTGCACGCCGACATTTGCAAAGCATTATCACTGTTCACCCACAGATCTCCTGTTGTCAATACAGGAGGAAATCATGGTCATTTCTTAGAAGGGTGTCTGAAATATTATCAACAATGGCTGCTGCGTTAGTGGTATATTTTATAAGCGTTTCCATATTTCACAACATATGTTATACCATAGAAATAATTCAGATTATAGATGGCTTCCTAGAGTAATTCTGGCCGTTACTTGCTTTGCCCAGAAGCACTGTTTTCCTCTCTTAATCTTGATTCTTGAAAGATAGGAACATGTTAGTTTTAGGCATATGACTAATGACATTGAATTGACTGTGTCATCTTTCAGAGTGCCTTGAAAGGTCAAAGCTATAGCAGCTTAAAAAACTGTGTGTGGTTTCATTATGCATTTAGTATTAACAAAACAAATGTGTTGTTTTAAAAGCAGGGTCTGCACTCTCCCTGCTCATCTTCAGAGGCAAACACACCCAAGTGAAATTATGCTTGTTCTTTTTGTCAGCTAATTAGTTTTCTGAGAGCTGGGGCAGATAAAACAAACAGCAAGAAAACCAAGCAAGAGTATTGTATCCTCCTACCCTAAACCCCAAGTTTTAAAATTAATCAAAAGTGTTTTTAAACTTATGTTAGGACCAAAATGCTTAATGGATTGGTGATGTTTGCAAATAGCATTGTGTCTGCCAAAGAGCAACCAGAAAGCTCAAAATTGCAATCCCATTAAAATGAAAATAACCCCCCTTCCATTGGCCTCAGTGTCCAAGTACACTACCATAGAAATTCTCAAACCTCTGCCAAAGTGCGTTCCCACTGCAGCAAAGATGAAATGGAGACTGAAATGTACATGACTGTAAATACACATATACGTAGAAAGTA